GTGATCGAAAGTTAAATATGGAGTGATAAATACGATCATTATAAAGATTTGCTTAACTCACGAGAGCACTAGAATATATATATGTGTGTGTGTGTGTGTGTGTAGATATGTTATATACATGTGTGTGTGTGTGTGCGTGTACCAGCGCATGTGAGTGTGCATGTGTGTTGTCTGTGTGTGTGTGCGAGCGTTTAGTGCACGACAGTGCCGAAAGTATTAATATGTGATTTTATTCTTTCTCGAAGTGCATCTGCCTGAGAGGCAAGGAACCAGCAGTACTGTGACAGGACACATCCCTGTCTGACACCTGAGGAGATGGGGAAACCAGTCTGTTATTCTTTCTGTTGTTCTTGCTGTGCAATGCCTGTCTTGGAAAAGAGCTAGGATGTTACCTAATGGTTGATCTTGAACACCATAATCTGAATAATAATAATAATAAAAGGACGTGTTAGAAAGTCAAAAATGTAGTATAATTAAGCTTACCGCAATTGATAGAGATCTCGATAAGATTTTCTGAGCTTACCAAAAGTGTAAAAAAGTTTAAAAAAAAAAAAAACTTTTTCAACTTAGAGAAGTACTGAAACTTTAAATAGTTAATTTTGCTTCGCTTACCCTTAGTGAAGTGATTACTAGTTTAAAAAAGTCTTCATTAGATTTCAGGGTGTATATTTGGCTAATCCATGTTCTCTGGATTTTGATAACAAAGAAGGCACGCTAATGTCGTCAATTAAAACCACTCCACGTAATGTACACTGAGACAGACAGAGGCAGAGAGACTGAGCCACAGACAGACAGACAGACAGACAGACAGACAGACAGACAGACAGACAGACAGACAGACAGACAGACAGACAGACAGACAGACAGACAGACAGACAGACAGACAGAGGGAGGGACGGACGGAGGGACTAACAGACAGACAGACAGACAGACAGACAGACAGACAGACAGACAGACAGACAGACAGACAGACAGACAGACAGACAGACAGACAGACAGACAGACAGACAGACAGACAGACAGACAGACAGACAGGAGTTAGAGTTGCCGAGAGAGCGAGAGAGACATACAGAGGCACTGAGACTGAGAAAGGCAAGCAGACAGACAGACAGACAGATTGTTTCTGATAATAACGATATGCTGAAATTAAGCAGTCAAGTGCTACTATTATTGCCTCCCCTCCCCCACACACTAGACTCGCTCCGAATGCCTTGTTGGCGTTTTTCTTTTTACTACCATTTCATTTCCTTGTGTGAGTGGTGTCTCTATTGGTGACAGATGGGGGGAGAAACTTTCTGGCAGATGAAGTAACGAAATGGACAGTAGCAGACAGACATTCGCATTGAGCAGATGAAAAAAAAAAAACCATAAGGGGAGGGCAAGAAGAGAAACAGAAAATTCGAAAGACGAAAAATAAAAGGGGGAAAATAAATATGCAATCAGGGTAAGTTGGTGGAGGGAAGGGGTCGACGGGAATAATTAGTTCACTGTAAACAAAAAGTGGACCGTTAGCAGACTGTCGTAGAAGTTATGGTTAATATAATAATAAAAAAAATAATAAAAACTTGGGGAGGGAGCCAGGAAGGATGTAACTAAATGTAGTAGTTGTTATTAATTTGACTTGTCCACGATTTATCTGTTTTTGTGGATGTTGTTTGTACAGTATGAGATAGCCAACCCCAACCCTTAATCGTTTGCCCTTTACGACATGCCTAGTGTTTCTGTTCTTTGCTTCTCATGAGGGGCCGCGGTAACACACGGGCGAAGCAGGGTAGAATCACCAATGTTGAACTTTGGGAGAAAACTAAACAAGTGTTCCAGTGGACCAAGAGGTGAACAAAAAGAAGCTGACGTTGGAAAAAGACGCACGTTGAGGAAAACTGAGAATAATATAAATAGAATGTCTTTGCACTGGAACCCACCGGAGCATTGAAATATAGACAGATCAAAAACCACATGGAGAATGGAGCTAAACTGGGACGTTAAAAAGATGAGGAGTTCGTGGGGTGATCTGCATGCAATATCAAGGGATAGCGTGAGTTGATTGAGGGCCTATGCTCTATTGGAAGATAAACAAAAACAGAACAGGAAGCAGTGGCTAATTTGATCCTTGAGTAAATTAAATTGATAAATTGTGAGTTCTCCCTCGATTAAAAACTGCGTCGTTCAGCGTCAGCGTGGAAATAAGTATCTGCAATGTTCTGTGTGACGATTCTAAATGTGCTTGTTTTGTTTAACCAATAAATGGATCATCTTCATTCTTCTTTTTCTTCTTCTTCTTCGTCTTCTTCTTCTTCTTCTTCTTCTTCTTCTTCTTCTTCTTCTTCTTCTTCTTCTTCTTCTTCTTCTTCTTCTTCTTCTTCTTCTTCTTCTTCTTCTTCTTCTTCTTCTTCTTCTTCTTCTTCTTCTTCTTCTTCTTCTTTTTCTTCTTCTTCCTCTTCTTCTTTTTCTTCCTCTTCTTCTTCTTCCTCTTCTTCTTCTTCTTCTTCTTCTTCTTCTTCTTCTTCTTCTTCTTCTTCTTCTTCTTCTTCTTCTTCTTCTTCTTCTTCTTCTTCTCTTCTTCTTCTTCTTCTTCTTCTTCTTCTGCTTCTTCTTCTTCTTCTTCTTCTTCTTCTTCTTCTTCTTCTTCTTCTTCTTCTTCTTCTTCTTCTTCTTCTTCTTCTTCTTCTTCTTCTTCTTCTTCTTCTTCTTTTTTTTTTTTTTTTCTTCTCCTCCTCCTCCTTTTTTTTTTCTCGCAGCTTTTAAAGGCTATAAACTTTGGCGAAACTTCTGTTTGTTTGTCTATCTCTGGTCTGTGGTCTTGTTCCAAAGCTTGAGTTTTGGGTGCACACCCGTTTTATGGCTCTGGCTTATTTGTATGCAGACTTTTAGTTTTTCGCCAGTCAGGAATAAGCACTTGGAAGCATCTAGACACCACGCAAACGATGCTCCCGATGAATGGCTAGACCAAAGTCAGTTATACACAAGAAGGAACCAACCCTTGCTTAAGGAAACGAGATTTAATTGACGTATTCAGAGAAATGTCGATTTCATTTGTTAAAATAGGGAGAGTACTGAAATACTCACATTTTGATACAAAACAAGGACTGAGTATTATATTCAAACGTGCCTTTCCTCGGAAAAGATACCATTTAATATCATTTCCAGTGATCGGAAACTATTACTACTTTATTATTTAGTGAAAATAGTAGCTAAAATTTGCACGTACTATTGGCGTATAGAAAGGCATTTTGATTACTGAGGACTCAATAATTGTACTAACTCTGTAGCTTTCGGTTTTGAGAGTAAGAACTCGTCTGGAGTATTGTCCGTGGCCGAGGACTGAGCGAGTGATGAAATCTGATCTTCGAGGTTATTAGGACTTATGGGAGAGAGAAGGATAAACAATTATCATATGAAATTATGGGATGTTAGAGATACTAGACAATGAGGGCTAAGCTACTAGTAAAATCAATACTGAAATATTGTACTTTAATGGATTCGTGAAAGATGAAACTGAAGATTACGGAAAACTCTACACAATATCCGTAACTGCATATCACACATACACACCACACACACACACACACACACACACACACACACACACACAAACACACACACAAAACAAGAAAGCTATGTATTGTTATAATTAAAAAAAAATAACAACTTTGTTGAGCGAAAAAGGGGAGTGGAGGAATGGTTTTTAAACATGGTCTTCCATTTCTACACTTCCGAATTCTATGATAGATTTGCCTCCAGTTGTAAGTGGTTCGAAGTTGTCACAAGCCTCTTCACTAAGGGCATTTCACATATTTTTCGTCTGTGTCAAAAGGCACAATATTAATATTATCCTAATTTTTTTAACACTTAAACAATGATAAGGCCCACTGAGTTCCCCCCCCCCCCCACCCCTTACCGAATCTGCGAGAACCCCATCCCCCTTCACCGTATTTTCACTGTGTTAAAACCCTGCTTGTTAATTTTTTTATTAACCTGAATGAAACTTTTAAAAGCTTTCTATCTAAGCTGTTCAAGACATTGCAATGTTCTTTTCTGATCTCGTATGTTTGCTGCCTTCAAGTTTATTTGCTTTGTATACATTTGATAGGCATATGCCTTTGGAAGTGTCAGAACTGACCTTCAAGCACCGAACTCCCGGATATTTCAAGACAGTGTCGATGAACAGAATAATCCAAACTGGGGACAATCAGATATTCCCGCCAAGAAAGAAAATACAAATCATGACGAGAAATGAGCTTTACGAACTTTGACATGGAGTATCGGGAAGTTGAGTTCCAGAAAGCCTGAAAAGATGGTTAACGCTGGACTACTGACCGACTCTGGATGAATATTCCAGCGCTTTGCCAGAATGGGAGGTTAAAAGAGCCTGGATATGGGCGTTTATTTCTGGCCCCCAACTTCTCGACGATTGATTTGTAGTTGTGCATGGCTTTCTTCACCTCACGAAGAGCTCATTTTCTCCGCTCCGCTCCTTTCGGGTCGTTTCATCGTGGCAAGTTTGGTAATTAGAAAAGAGAAGGCAGGCAATTTTAGGGGTGCTCCTTATAATGGAGCTGAGGACTTTTCTTTTGTTTATTGCTGTCCGCGATGCGTTTAAATGGAGATTCTAAACGGAGAATGGGAGAGGGGACAGCGTTGTGGCCACAACGATTGCCTGCTGGATGGATGGTCGTGAGTTTGAATCCCCTTTAAAATTGACATGGGCTCCTAGAGGGACGCAGCTAAAAATACGCACCAGAAAATTTCAAGAAAGTAATGGTGGTTGGCGTTACTTTTGAAACAATACTACAGGCCTCAGCAGAGGGGAAGTAGATACATATCTGATTGTCAAAGGTGAAAGGAGCTGATCAAACAGTCAACAGCAGCTGGTGACTCAACGACACTCAGTCCTAAGGGACTTTGGCGACGATGATGAATGAGTATAATTTATAATCATTACATATTTCAATGTTGCGCACCCTGTTATTTTTCACCGTGCTTTTTTTCTCCCACTGTAGCATTAACAGAACCAACAATCGACTACGGCTTCCAGAGGTTGATGAAGTTGGTTCCTAGGCACCCGGGAGACCCCGAGAGATTACCCAAGGTAATATTTATATAGAGCTACCCACTAAAAAGCGTGTCTAAATACACAGCCCTGTCTATCTATCTATCTATCTATCTATCTATCTATCTATCTATCTATCTATCTATCTATCTATCTATCTATCTATCTATCTATCTATCTATCTATCTATCTATATCTATCTATCTATCTATCTATCTATCTATCTATCTATCTATCTATCTATCTATCTATCTATCTATCTATCTATCTATCTATCTATCTATCTATCTATCTATCTATCTATCTATCTATCTATCTATCTATCTATCTATCTATCTATCTATCTATCTATCTATCTATCTATCTATCTATCTATCTATCTATCTATCTATCTATCTATCTATCTATCTATCTATCTATCTATCTATCTATCTATCTATCTATCTATCTATCTATCTATCTATCTATCTATCTATCTATCTATCTATCTATCTATCTATCTATCTATCTATCTATCTATCTATCTATCTATCTATCTATCTATCTATCTATCTGTCTGTCTGTCTGTCTGTCTGTCTGTCTGTCTGTCTGTCTGTCTGTCTGTCTGTCTGTCTGTCTGTCTGTCTGTCTGTCTGTCTGTCTGTCTGTCTGTCTGTCTGTCTGTCTGTCTGTCTGTCTGTCTGTCTGTCTGTCTGTCTGTCTGTCTGTCTGTCTGTCTGTCTGTCTGTCTGTCTGTCTGTCTGTCTGTCTGTCTGTCTGTCTGTCTGTCTGTCTGTCTGTCTGTCTGTCTGTCTGTCTGTCTGTCTGTCTGTCTGTCTGTCTGTCTGTCTGTCTGTCTGTCTGTCTGTTTGTCTGTCTGTCTATCTGTCTGTCTATCTGTCTGTCTGTCTGTCTGCCTACTTGTTTGTCTATTCGTTTTTCTGGCTGTCTGTCTGTCTATCCCTATGTCTGTTTCTACGTTCATCTCTATTTCTACTTTTTCCCATTTCTGTCACGGTTCGGTCTCCTTGATCTTTCTCACTCTATCCGTCCCTTTCTTTCCTTCATTAGCAAAGAGAGCAACTGTTAGTGTGGTGAGGCATGAAAGCTGAAACTTCTAAGCACAAAGTATGGTGTATCTTCTGTACAATGAAGTTGGTGGGCATGTTCAGGTTTCCCGGCCCATCTACCCACTTTCTCAGTCTGATCTATGTCAGAGGGGTGACACGCTGCAATTTTTTCTTCGAAGAGACTCTCTCGTGTGACCTAGGCTCAAGAAGTGGGTAGCGAGTTTTGGGTTAGGGCCAGTTCTAGATGTTCTGGCGTCGTTGAAAGCTCTGTTGTCATGTAGTGTAGAACATGCGACATTGGCGCTGATTTAATTAGAGGTAAGACAACGTGACACCCCTCTAACGTAGAAGAGTTCGAGAACATATGAATAAAAGATCCGACAGTGTGTAGATGGACCGGAAAACGTGAACAGACCATATATTCTGACAACTTCATGTCATTCACAAGTCTGCGCTAGGCAGTCGTTTGTATTTATTTGTTTCGTTTTCCAGGAAATCATACTCAAACGGGCAGCTGACCTGGCTGAAGCCTTATACAGCATGCCCAGAAACCCCAACCAGTTGTCGCTTCCAACCCCACGATCTCCAGCCATGAACAACCCGGCAATGTCCGGTTTCAACGCTTACCCAAGCCAGCTGGCCGTCAGTGTTGGTGACGCCGGGGTCAACGGACAATGGGACGAAGGTGAGTGTACACTATTTATAAACACCTATACGACAGATTTTTACTTTTTCTTAGCGTACACCTGCTGTTAACTCTGATGAACAGTTTTTGTTGTTCGTCCACTTCTGGATTTTGGTCTAGTCCTAGACCCCAGAATTAGAATTTTACGTGCACATCTGGTTTACTAATTTGTGCTTTTAATCTTCTTAGATGTTCTTTTAAAAAAAATGTTATCCTATTTTAATTCCTTCAAACCCAGACAATTATTGGTTAGGTAATGAATTCTGAGAAGATAATCGGTTAAACTAGAATGTACCTAGATACTGAAAGGTTAAGGTACTCCTTAAGGGGTTAAACTGACGTGATTTGTGAAGCTCCGTTTTCAGTTTTAAAAAAAAGTAAAGGACCCTGTTCCACGCCTTTAGGCGTATAGGCCATATAGGGCTAGACCTATATTTTATAGACCAATCGGCACAAGATGGGTGATGTGGTCAGCATCACGCCGGCCGCCTTTACTTCCCGGGACTGCACCTGGTACCCACTCAAGGCTGGGTCGACATGGGAGAGTTCCGCTTTCAGCTCAAAATATTATGGTCCCCCTACTTAAGAACGACATACGAAAGCTTGGCTAAAAACTACTGACTAAAGATTTTCTCCAACAGGGTACAACAGGTCCCAGAGTTCCAGTGTTTCACCCCGAGGTTACGGCTCCAACGGCTCCACGCCTCACAGTGTCAATGGTGGCTATGCTACAGCTCCATCTATGAACGGCTACCACAGTGGGCCTGGCCCTTTAGGAAATATGGGTGAGTCTTTGACGATCTGCTGTATTGGTTTCATGTATGAATTCTTCCTTTTTCGTATTCCGAACCTTTCAAGTTCACTGCTGGAGATATTACCCGCCTTCATTCATCTTTGCGATTGCCCACATTCCCACCCATAACCCCCTACTCCCTCCATGTTGGTGCATTTTCAATCCATCCGAGTTCGATGTCTTGGTGAAGAAATTCTTTTTATCAAGGTGCGAATATCTTCCCCACGCTACAATTCCAACCTGGAGGAGAACCAGGATGTCTTTCTGTGTCTGTTCTCTATCCTGTAACCTTTCCGATTTGGGAGGCCCTGGTGGTAGCTAGGCTGCCGCCGGCACAACTCTCAGGGACGTTGAAAAACTTCAGTCACCCCTTCTCCACCACCAACTCCCCGCTCCCACGACAAAGTGGTAACAAATAGATAAATCATTTACAATTCCTATACGGAGTCTCTTGGCAGATTCGGCTTTAGGGGTGTTAGATACCTTGTATGTGTGGCTGTGTATGCGTGTTTGTGGGGGAGGGGGGGTAGGGGTGTGTGGGTGGGTCTATGTTTGGGTATTCGTTTGTGTATGTACCTATGCGTGTGTATGTGTGGGTGTATGCACTTGTATGTGAGTTCGTTTGTTGTTATTGTTGTTGCCGTTTCAGTATTAGGACTCAGCTTTCATTTTTAACTTCCACCTTTTTGCTTATCTTATTATTTAAATATCCACATTGTGAGATTAAAGCCGCCATGATGTGTCGACTAGACGCTCACCTGCAGATCTGAAGGCCTTGGGTTCAGGTCCTGACAGTCTCAAACTGGTACCAGGAAATACCATCGGAAGTAAAGGCGGTCTGCTCGATGTTGATTATATCGCGCATCGAATTCTGATGGCTCTACAAAAACAGGATCAAAGCATCAAATACCTGCTACATCTGTGGCAAGAGAAAAAAAAGTAGTTGACTTCTGTTTCCTTTGCTTGTATTTACAACTATAACAAACATCTCCTTCTTCAGGTCTGGACCATTTTCTTCGTGACGAGGCCAGCAGAATAGGAGCAGGTAGGCACACATTTGATTAAATTCTGTACACGTGTTTTAAATTTATTGGCTTGAATATTGTCGCCTCTCCTTCTTCTTCTTCTCATCAGCATATTGTTGAACATATGTCAGGAGAAAAAAGTACTTAATATATCCGTAAAAAGACCCCCCCACCCCAACCACCCCGTTTTCTCCCCGTTAATCTTCAGAGTAATTTGTTCTCGTTGCAGCATAATTAGCTCTGTGTCTGTTTAGAGTAAATGTTCTTCGATACAAATGTACAGCTTTCTAAATTTTTAGAGAAAATGATCTTTAATACAAAATGTACAGCTTTCTAAATTTTCAGAGAAAATGATCTTTAATACAAAATGTACAGCTTTCTAAATTTTTAGAGAAAATGATCTTTAATACAAAATGTACAGCTTTCTAAATTTTTAGAGAAAATGATCTTTAATACAAAATGTAAAGCTTTCTAAATTTTCAGAGAAAATGATCTTTAATACAAAATGTACAGCTTTCTAAATTTTCAGAGAAAATGATCTTTAATACAAAATGTACAGCTTTCTAAATTTTTAGAGAAAATGATCTTTAATACAAAATGTACAGCTTTCTAAATTTTAGAGCAAATGTCCTTCAATGCAAACTAGCAAATCCCTAACTGCTTTTAAAGTAATGATAGTTTTAAAAAAAAACATTTTTGTGGGAAAGTTTTAAAAAAAATTGAACACACTCAGTTCATAGTGACCAGATATCAAAGAACTGTAGAGAAATCGAAATGTTTCGATAATTATTGTTATTGTCAGAACAGACAAAACTATGTGTATGTTTTGTTCTACAATATTCGAGTTAAAAAGAAAACTGTTAAATATCTTGTTTACTTACTTACTTAGTCGCTTATCTTCTACCTTGGGGTGTAGAGGTTTGCCAGAAGATATCGTCGCACTTTTATTTAATAGCTTATTTACAAGATAATATTCTGCCACAACAGTTGGTAACTATGAAATGTTTGCTTCACTTAAGTGGTTTAAATAAATCGATTTAAAAAGTGAACACAAACACAGTTTATGAAACCAGTAAACAGGGAGACATTTATCATGAACATGTGAACACCAATTTATCAAGAACTTGTGAGCACTGAGACAATAATCCATCCTGAGAACACAGAAATAATTTATCACAATCATGCAAACATCTAGGTCGACACATCATTTGTTAGGTACCAGGAGAAGTCCCGGAAAGTAAAGGCGGCTGGCGTTATGCTGACATCACCCAACGAGTTCGATAGGTCTGTTAAAAATAGGTCTTGCCCTATATGTCTATTACGCCTGAAGGTGTGGAGAAACACCAAGACAAGTTATCTCCCACTTGTGAACACCAAGACAAGTTATCTCCCACTTGTGAACACCAAGACAAGTTATCTCCCACTTGTGAACACCAAGACAAGTTATCTCCCACTTGTGAACACCAAGACAAGTTATCTCCCACTTGTAAACACCAAGACAAGTTATCTCCCACTTGTGAACACCAAGACAAGTTATCTCCCACTTGTGAACACCAAGACAAGTTATCTCCCACTTGTGAACACCAAGATAAGTTATCTCCCACTTGTGAACACCAAGACAAGTTATCTCCCACTTGTGAACACCAAGACAAGTTATTTTGGACTTCAGAAAGAGGCAGTCCTCATTTTAGCCACTTTGTGGAAAGAGAAAAACTAGAACGGGTGACGACTGAAAGGATTTATTTCATAGAAATATGGAATATTCTTAACAGTTATTTGTGAGGGCACAGAAAGATATCAGCAGGCGGATAAAACTGGACACATTAGGAAACTGACCAGCAAGCTCGTCCACGCCAACCATCAAAGCGTTTGATGATGATTAAAAAGTGAACGTGTAATGACAACATGACTGTTTAGTCAATTACTGCCCTAATAAGCATGGTGCTCGATGGTTCAGATCACAAGGCAGGACCGATAGTTGTTTTCTCACTGGGATGCAGAGGGGGTGAACCACAAGTGATACTTCTGCAGCAGGGTGAGGGTTTTCTCTCCAGTTCACCCTATCTACAACTCTTCGCGGTCATTCTAGAAACGTTTCTCCACTGTAGCCTGGCCAGTGTGGACAGAATCGACATTTCCGTCGAAGTCTGAGCGCATCGTTCTTAGAGGCATGGAACCAACAGTCTGCACACAAATAAAGCAGATGATGTTCACGCAGGTCTCAAATCCTGACAATCCCAGAATTGGACGAACAGATAAGATTTACGACCGGAGTTTATAGCCGGCGAACGCTAAGATAAAGAATTCTCAACATTTTAGAAATATAACCGCAGTTCATGGCTGTCCCATGAACACATGAAAACCGATGGAACATATTTTGCTTTTGATATCGCTTGCTTTCATCATTTATTACAGTTTCGATATACTGTTTTATTTTCTTCTCTCAATAAGTAAATGTTGTACAGTGGCGTAGCGTGACTTTATCCGAACTGTAAGCAGTCCTTTTAACCTCAAAATATGCTTCCCTAAAAACGTTGAATACCAGAGCAAAATTGATTTAATAATTTATTGATCTTATTTACTCTAACACCGGTTTCCGGCACTACATGATTATATCAGCCTAACTCTTCAATTCCTTAGCTGATGATGACATTTCCACAAATAAAGAGTCAGCGAAATATTAAAAACAACACTAAAAATTTCACCAAAATGTTAAAAATAACAATAAAGATTCCACCAAAATATTAGAAACAAGACTAAAAATTCACGAGCATATAAAAAAAAGAAGCACTCTTAAGAATGCTTAGTTTGGTGGTTAACATTTATATTGCCTTATTGGTTGCCTTGTGATGCTTTATACAGGCAGAATTTACTAGGAGGTATTAAAACCTATCCTGTTTCAAGTGTTATTTACAATTGTTTATGCCGTTATGAATCAACCTATAGCTTAAAATTAGTTAGATTAACAGTAAAGATGTGTATATTAAATCACGTCACTTTATAAGATAAATATAAAAATATATTTATATGATTTGTATCTGTTTACGTGCACGCCACGCCATTGCCATTGTATATATAGATTTGCTTTTCCAAACTAATTTCTGTGAGTCGTATTATTGTGTCTCATTTACGTACTTTCACAATGTAAATATATTTTATTGTTGTATTTTTTTTTTACAGTAACTTCACGTGAATATATTTTTTTCTTATTGTTTTTACCCATTTCAGTTCCAACACACACTTCGCTCTCAGTGCCCCAAAACACGACCATTCATCCCACCGCCTCCGCCCCTGCTGTAGTGTCGGCTGCACACGGGTCTGGCTTTTTTTCTTTTTCCAACAGTGGCAAGCAGAAGAGTGCCTTTGCTCCCGTATACTACCGTCCCGGCTTTAGCCCACCCCCACTGATGGCGGGCTATCAGACCCATCCTGGTGGCTGGATGACATAGGACGGTGTTTTTCTCCTATACTAGTATGTGATTCTTTGTTTTTTTTTAGATAAATAACACTTTGTTATCAATTTGTGCTGAAGCTAGTACTCTGAAGTGGCTGTATGAAAATCTCGGTCGTTACCGGTCCCAAGTCTGTATAAGAAAGGAGAAGAGCCAGACTGTGAATAATAATTTGCTACATAAACTTGTAGGAATGGACCTCATTCCGGTAAAAATCTCCTGTTATTTTTAATTTAAATATACCAGGGAAAGTTGGAGAGACACTAAAGACATGAAACGAAAGTTAAATGAATTCAAAAAATAAATGTCTGAGGAAAATGATAAACATCGAATATGGTTAATTCAAGAAGGGCGAAGAAATAAGAGAAATGGTTGGGCAACCACTAGTAACCACAGTCATGACAGAGAAATGACCCTATATTGGACACATCCTAAGAAGAAACGATCAAAGAAACACATAACAGGCATTAAAGGAGGAAATACAGGAGTTACAGAGGCGAGGCCGTCCAAAAGAAACCCTAAAACGAACGTTAATGAGAGAGGCCCAAACGTGCTGGGCTGGATTTCATCCGTGAAACTGAATTGATTCCAAAGGATTAAACGGGGTGGAGTAATAGACTGCAGGCCCTATGTGTCATATAACAGGAAGACGATGACGATGAAAAGCTGTAAATTTACAGTGTCAATTGTCGAACTGGTGTAGCAGCTGACCGCATGGTTAAGAACGCCAGCCTCTCATGCATGAGACTCAGGTTCGAAATCTCAGTAAAGATGCCAATTTTTTTTTTTTTTTTTTTTTTTTTTTGGTGTCAGGAGCACACACACACAAAATCCTTATATGTAAGGTCCTTGGCGACAACACTGCTTATATGGCCCTAAATCTTTAGGCTCAAAGATCCCCCCCCTCGTTTTTTTCCTTCACGTCAAAAGTTGTAAATAAAACTATTACAATAAAGTAAAGACCCTTTTCCACTCCTTCAGGCGTATTAGGCATATAGGGCTAGACCCATATTTTGTAGACCAATCGCCACCTCGTGGGTGATGTGGTCAACATCACGCCGGTCACCTTTACTTCACAGGACATTATCTGGTACACAATATAGGCTGGGTCAACCTGTGAACCAAAGTCATCTTTAAAAAAAAAATATTCAAAAATGTCAAGTCCCCTCAGGACTTGAACCAACGACCATGCGATCCTCAGGCCAGCATCTGGTCGCTTCAATACAAGCCAGTGATGACAGTTTAATTGCAAGCTTGTAAATTTGCAATAAATAAAGTAAAGACACGTCTTCATACCACTGGCGCATCAGGCATCTCATGCCACACTGAAATTCTATAGATCAATCACTCGATGGAAATTAGGTAGTCAAAACCAGTTTAGACTTTATAGGACTTGCCTGGTACCCATTTAGAGCTGGGTTGACTAAGGAGCCAATGTCAATTTTACAAATAAAAATTCACACATTACAGATTACGACGTTTACAGTTGAGCGGTCAGACCCTTTCATTACCATCTTTTCCTAAAGAGGATTCCTAGAACATTTTGAAAATTATATCCATTTAAGCTGCGTGTGTGTATATGTATACGTGTGTATGTGTGTGTGCCCGTATATTTACTTATATATGGTTTGAGATGCATTCATGCATTCATTAAATATATGTCTCGCGCTTCGTTTGTTTTGCACTTGCATGAAAAATCAGTTGTTTTCGCATCACGTTTAATTTTGTCCACAAATGACTTTGCATGTGCAGACAGCGTTAGTCTATTTAAGGTCGCGACTCAGAATAACTGTAGCGAATTTTCGTTTAAACGTTTCATAGAACAGGTTTGTCTTTCCACAATCCCAGAGTTTTTGTAAACAAGTTTCGCAAGCCAGTAAAAAAGATGCTGGTCACTTTGCTGTCAGGAAATAAACACTAATATAGCAGATAACCATCAGGACTTTTCTTCATTTAGTGACTTTATAGCGGTGGGTGATTAACAAAAATACCGTTCTCATATTTTTAGGCACCTGTAGGAGAATCGCATCGTGCAACAGACTGAGCCTCAAAACGTGATTCTTTACCGTTCTTATGGATTTTTTTGTCTCTGTCTTTCTAACCCCCAATAGGGCATCGACCCTCAATCCTCACACAAAATGGTTGTATCCTTCGCTATCACATGCAGCTCTCCCTATGGTCCTCCTACTCCATCTTTTTAACTTCACTCCCTATCTTCCTTCTCCGTGTGTGTGTGTGTGTTTTTCCCTTCCTTTATTTGGACGCTCCTGTGGGTTCCAGTGCAAAGACATTATAGTTAGATTGTTCTCTGGCTTTCTAAGCGCGTGTCTTTTCAACGGTCTCATAGTTCGTCATCATCATGTGCCCTGCCAACTGGCATAGGCGCTCATGCGTCCCCACAGATCACGATCCCTGGTTGCCTGAAACAGCTCTCTTGATGATATCCCTCCATGCTATCGTTTCAGCCCATCCAGCATCATCTCTTTTGATCTGCCTGTACCCCTTTTTCCACTGATCTTTCCAGTTATCACATTATTCTCCAATGTTTATATTCTCATTATGTGTCGAAAGAACAGTGTTTGACTCTTTCTTATTGTTGTTTATAGAGATCTACTTTCATTAGCTTCTTTCTGGCAACCATTGTTAGTTACTCTGGCCGTCCAAGGCATTTGTAAAATTCGTCTCAGTATTGTTGTAGCCAACTTCCATTGTCGAAATGGAGCACACACAAAAACAGTATCGTCTTCAGTCGTGTAATAGAAGAATCACGTAGCTTGTATAAACAAATCCCACACACAAGCAATCTGTGACTTCAACGATGCTACAGACTTCTCCTGTTTCAATTTGTGTAGCTAATGACCCATTTATTAATTAAAATGACAGGGTTTATCAGTTTTAGAAAATGGCTTGTGCACAAATTACACTACTTTTGTACAGCGAAAATACACCGATATTCCCTTATTTATACACGTAACTGGCGAAGCTATGTGTAACAATACGTTTTATAAGGACATTTAAACAAGAGAAAAGGGAAAATATTCGTTACGTTAGAGAAATAAGCAAGCATTGGCCGCAGACAAAGCAGAAGCTGGAATCTCGGAGTGAATTCAAATGATCCATCTATTAATAAAAAAGTGCTCACGCTGTTGCTGATTAAAAAGCTATTACTGAAGAATCCTTTTGCTATCCGGAAAAACAAAACGTTATAAAAACTTAACTTGGAGAACGCCAATAGTTCTACAGATTTCATTTGAAATTCAGCATGTAATTAATCCATTTCTTTTTTTTTTTTTTCTTTTTCGAAATGTTTTATCAATGTTTAATGCGTGCTTTTTGTGTCTAGAAATGGTGTCGTGTTTGTGTTCAGAGAAGCAGGTTACTTCCTCGTTTTGCTAATTAGATTAATAATCTCAAGTCTGAATGTGAACGGCAGCAGTCTCTCTCTCTCTCTCTCTCTCTCTCTCTCTCTCTCTCTCTCTCTCTCTCTCTCTCTCTCTCTCTCTCTTATATAAACAAGTTTCAAGATAATAAATATCAATTAATGATCGTATACTGTTAGTTTGATAAAGGTTATTTGAAAGCACATTAATTTGTAACCTCTGTCCTAATTTGAGGGTTAAGTGACAACTGTGAAAGAGGAAGCATCTTATGGAAGTAGGAAAACTAAAACAGAAAATCAGGACATTTGAACTTAAATTTTACAGGGAGGTTGACGTGGGTTGGTTGAGGGGAGATGATGACGACGATGATGACGAGGATGAAAAGATGAAGAAGAAAGACTACAAAACAAGAAAATGTTTGTGCAATTAACAGATAGAATTCAGGCTCCGAAGATGGTCAATGCCAAAAAATTCAAAACAAATCTCATCGAAACAATGAGATGAAGATGTACCAGAGAGTGACTTGTTGTTATAGGAGCTGATAGGGGAAATTAAAAAGAGGCGGATGACACACTTCCGTCACATCAAAATTAGTCTCGTAAGAAGAAAGTAGACAGCAGGAAAAGAGAACAAATGAAATTCTGAAGTCGATATTCCTAAACAAATATAGAGGAGAGGGGAAAAGGCAACACCAAGCTAACACACACATATACACCCGCAAAAGAAAACAACGTTTAGATTGTACCTTCAGTAGGAGAAACATTGAATAAGAGCAGGAATGTTACAATACGGCTAGCTCTCTCCGGGCAGTATCGCTGGTCCCACGCGCGAGAGGATCCCTCAAACCGAGAAACTCCTTAGCTCCAACGACGACCTTTAGCTACCTCTCTAAAACATAATCACTCGTGAGCCGAAGGAATGAGTGCGATCTGAACCAGCCCCCCCCCCCCCCCCCGACCACGAGGCAAACAGCTAAACCAGGTCGCCGAAAATTTTTACCTTCCACTACACGGTGACTATACAAGAAGTACACAGTGTGTGTACACAGGAACTCAGCCAATGTTCATAGTACATCCCAGAATAGCTAGACTGGAACCTCAATTTGGTAACAGCATTAAATTATTCTAGCATATTCAATTATTCTGTTTTCTTGCCTGAAGTCAGTTGATCTATTTGCGTCATCTCCTGGGACTCAGGTCGTTAAATAGCCTCTCATTTTCATTGTCGCCATACATAAAAGGACATCGTTTAAAACAAGCTTGCCTGCAGGATCTAAGGGTGACCTTTGGTGCACGTATTGTTTGCACCATTATTGAGTTTACCGATCGATGACGTCAGAATAAGAAACATGGCCGAAAACGGATGCATTATATAGCAACAGCAAAGTCATTAGAGACATTGTCCATATCTTTCTTGGAGGAAGCCAATACTTTGACTTTTGTTTTAACAATGCAGTGGTCAGATTCCACTCGTTAATTTACTGACAGAAAATATCTAGAATGCTTTGAACCTAGGGGGAAATGTAAAGTTAAGGACCATTTTCATTCATTGATATATGGAGTACTGGTGCTTGACCCATATTTTTTTTTAATAGGCCAATCGGCGCCTGGCGTATACTGGGAGAATTAAAAAAGGGATCGTGGAAGAAATAACGAGATAAAACATAATGTCTACACCTAAGTATACGAGATTCTTATAAACCTACACTGAAGCGACAGTCAAAGAGAGAAGAAAAGATGACTACTGTGCAAAAATGTGGGATTAGATGCAAATGAGCCGACTGTACCAGAGCTTACCGTCACATCACAACACATAAAGTCTTGGAAGTGAGTGAGTGAAGTTGTACGCCACAAGGACAGCACATTGAGCGATTGACACCCGGTGACGCAAAGTCCAGTGTGTCATTACTGGGATGAGAATCCCTCCATTTACAAATCCCAGAAACCGCATTTCACCGTGAGGCTAGCTAGATTGAGGCCCGGACGGTTACAATGCAGCCCGAAGTCCAGCCTAGGTAGGGAGGATTCACTGTGTTGGAAGCCTCAATCAACTTTTGCGGGCGGCTCTCGGGGTTCACCCAGCCTCTAGGAAATGGGTTAAATCTCTGGGGTAAATGGAGAAACGTCGCTGTAGCTACAGAGTTACGTGCGGACGGCGACACAGGCGGACAGTTTCTTATCAGCTCTCCGTTCTGGTGGCAGAGCACTTATGGTTTATAACTGTGTGCAATCACGCTGGTTCACATCTCCCGACTACTTTTACCTTTACCTTCTCATCTTTTCAACTTATTCAAATTATACAATACTTTAAAAACACAAACAAGTCTTCATTATGTTTACGCCTGTAATATTCAATGTATTCTTTCTGATTGTTTCAGGTATGAGCGGAATCGTTGGGTCCCCTTTCTCAGGTGTAAATCCATTTGGCCTTCCAACTTGTGGCACGCAATCGGCTTATGGAAGTTCCATCGTGTCAGCGGCAAAATAGTCACTTCTAGATTCTATTTTCTTACAAGTGTCATTACAGATCTGACAACCACTTACCTCAGCAACCGTCTGCACAGCATTGTTTTCCTATAGCCAGCAGGAGCTAGGAAAACATCTTCAAACAGATCCCTGCTACGATGATTACTCTGTTTACAGCTCCTAGAGAGGAGTTTCGTGTAGACAAGTTATGTTTTCCTGCTATTTTCTGGAATGTTCCAGCACGAAACATGATTTGTGGTTGTGGTAGTGCTCGGCCTATCTTGTGCATAAATGTTTACTATACGAGTCTTCAAGTCGTTTACGGAAACAGGATTGTGTTAATTTTTTTTGCTGGAGATATTGATGCCTGAAAAGAAAATCAAAGCAAAATATCCAGGAAAGTATAGTGAATGGTGAGTTAGCCTACATTGACCTAAATTTCTTATGGTTTTTAAGGAATTTCGCATTTTTAAAACGTATGTTAACAATTCATGAAGGAGAACAATTTTTACGAATGCAGTACTGTTCGTTTTATTCATGTCTATACAAATGCACAATACAAGTTCTGAGCGTCTCCAAATACAGTGGGGGGAAAAATGCCATTTCGCACAGTCATCACAAAAAATCAAATATTGACGGAATGCCATCAAATGCTACATGAACAATGATTTTTGTGATTTTCTTTCCCACGTTTGATTGGCGCTGTGAATAAATACTATAAACACTGTGAAATTGTGGACATTAACTAATTCATCTCCGACTTGGTGTCCAGTATTTTACAATGTGAATTCTCGAAATAATTGATAGACATACAATTCTACAATCATTGTTTGGAAATCTTCTCATACAGTTGCCTGACTGAGGTGGACTATATAAACAGGAGCTATTAATGTTGTTTCTTAACTAAACCGAGTATGATGAAGTGAACTGTAGAAATCAAGGTTTTTTTTTTCCATCTCTTTTCATATTTTAATGTTTTTATTGCCTATTTAATAAAATATTTATATGACTTTTCTGTAAAATAAGATATGATGCTGGCGTCTATATCAGTAACACGTATTCCCCAGGTGGGGTTAGAAGCCCTATTCTAGAGACAGAGGTGATAGATCCACTTTCACTTCAGGACAGGTTAAACCCCCAAATTGAATTTGATTACATTCTCTGGCAACAATGCTTTCAGTAGGTGCATACTAGTTAAAGATTCAAGGAAAATTAATTCTGGTGGAGGGAGAGGGGGGGGGGCGTGGCTAAAATCAACATATTTTCACAGAAATTGATTGTCATCTATGTATTAGAAGTTGACTAATTAATTAGGGGCATTTTCAAAAGGTAAGGTACCTATAGTCTACATACAAACTATTCCAGATCTGTAAAGCGTATATGCACACAAAACTCAAAGTTCTGGAACTAGACAAGCCCAGAAGTAGAGAAACCACCAAAACTTTCCACCCGAGTTTACAGACGGTGAAAATAAAGAAGAACAAGAACAAGAACAAGAACAAGAAAAAGAAGGCAGAAATACAACACGTAAAAACTGACCTCCAAGATTTAGGGGACACAAAAACTTTGTAGGCATCATGATGTCTTCATTATTATGTACCATAAGAGCTCCCAACCCATGGGTCGCGACACCAGACGAGTGCACATAGGGTTGTGCTACTCAACTGGCGGCCCGCGGGCCAGATCTGGTCCGTAGAGGCCTAACAAGTGTCCTCCTATCATTGTTATTTGTTTTTATTTTATTTTAATAATGATCTTTCTGTGCTGGTATTGGGGTCACTAGCCCGTAATGATCCCTGTTTTCATAATATTGTCCCCTCAGTAAACTTAGTTGAATAGCCATTACGTAGTGTTTACTGTGGGGGCTACTGGCAAAGGTGAGCTGATGCCATTTTGAAAAAAAAAGGGGGAGGGGGGCACGTCATCGTGTCCTGCACAGACAAATATATTTTCGTTGTACTTTTATTTACCTTATTAAAAAGCCTAGTTTTAATGTTTGGGGGTTGAAGGCAATTTTTGCCTCTAGAAAATGGGGTCGCGACTCGAAAGAGGTTGAGAACCCCTGACGTGGGAGGTCCTTAGCCGAGCGTCCCACTCGTCACGGGAGACCGGAGAGTCACTTGTCCCTTGTCAGCTTTCCCTCGTCTTGAACTTAACGGCCCAGGGTTTCCTTGGTATTCTGTGTTTACCGTCTACCCTCTGTCACAGAGGGCTCCCTATACCTCCATTCCGCTCAATCCTGTGCAGTCCTTTTTATAAGCTCCTTTTCCCCCCTCTCTCATCAACGTTCGTTTCAGGGTCTTCTAAGATGCCAGCAAAGTAGCAGTGATATTCTAACTGGTGCTTTATTAATATCCTACCCCAAACAGGGGAAATCCACAGGGCACGGGACAGTCTAATATTTCAGGGGGTGGTAGATAGGCTGCATGCAGTCGTGGGACCTAGGCACGGAGCATGGGTGAAAATGTCCTAAGTGTCATTTATAAATTGATTTATTAATTCAAATCAGCCTCTCCCTGTGTGGCCCGACTCTGGCTACTATATAACCGGCCGTGGTCCGAAACTAAGCTTACGGTTAAACGGGGTTTTCTGAGATTTATACATTTAGGATTGATATGTTATTTCTTCAGATTGCAATCCCGAAGGAAAAAACCTGCAGCAGTCTATGTCCACCTGGAATCTTCATCTCATTGATACCAGGTTCTAACCAAATGTCTGGGTTTTCTATATTTGTCTTGCGCTTCTGGTGTGGCTTGGGTAATGGATTCGTTCATCTTATTGCAGTTTTCAGCTACACTATTTATCCATCTCTTTCTTGGTCTTCCTCTCGCCTTCCTCCCAGATGTTCTGCTGTAAAAAGTCTCATATGCAGTTTGGTCTGGATGTATTCTCATTAGATGGCTGACAATTGTTTGTGTTAACATCGGAGAAGTTGACTAAAAACAATAGTGCACCATGTCAAATTATGCTCCACCTGCATTTATTCTAAATCTTATGACTGGAGTTTTTATTAGCCTCTCAGGTGCAAAATTATGGAGGCGAGTTGGCTCAACAGCTAGTATCTTCACCTACCATCACAACTATCTGAGATTTAACCCCCCAGCATAAGATTGGAGGCTGATAAATGTTTCCACAAATTGTGGGCAGATCTGGATGATGGTGAATGGCAGGTGCCATACAGGTTATGGCTTGACAACTGACCGGGGCATAAACGATCGACTGGCTCGCCGGTAGACGACTTTGTCACCAGTGGGGACAGTATATGGGTGTGTCTCCTTTGACTGCATTAACACTACAAGAGTCCTTTTCAGGGTTCTTTTTGGAGTACAATTCTGAGCCAAATTATATGGCGCACATAACCTAGTCACAATTATAACCTAAAGCTCCCCCTTTAGGGATGCTGGTTGTATGCGACAATTTTTTTAGCAAAGCATCGATCAGTTGAACTTATTAGGGATCTTCATACAAGGACATTATTTGCTGACAAATTTCATTATTGTGTTTTTGAGAAACGAACGAGAGACTTTGTTCTCGGTTGTGTCTGCTTCTTGTTGTTTTACATGACAGACTTGATCATTTCAGGAATTTATTGTGCTTGAATTGTTTATTTGTGTGTGTGTGAGCATGTGTGTGAAATAGTCTCTCTCTTTCTCTCTCTCTCTCTCTCTCTCTCTCTCTCTCTCTCTCTCTCTCTCTCGCTGTTTCTCTCTCTATTTATATATATATATATAATATATATATATATATATATATATATAATATATATATATATATATATATATATATATTTAAAATGTGTGTGTGTGTTGTGTTATGTGTGAAAGAGAGAGAGAGAGAGAGAGAGAGAGAGAGAGAGAGAGAGAGAGAGCGAGAGAGAGAGAGAGAGAGAGAGAGAATGATAAAACAGGTTGTTTGTAAATCTTATTAAGGAATGCAATGTAACTCATTGTTTCACTAAACAGGTTGTTTGTAAATCTCATTAAGGAATTCAATGTAACTCTTGGGTTCACTGCACTGACATTTACATTGTCTGTGAGTGAAAACAGCCTGTGTCTGTCGGAATGAGATTTACATGCAAAAGCCATAGGGGCTGTCACAGCACTAGGAAACTTGTGGCGGGGAAAAGACATTAAACATTGTGCCAGAGACCAGACGACACTCGCTAAGCGATGTGTCCAACATAGTGCCGACTGCCTTTACTTTCCAGATTGTTTACTGTTGTTGTTGTTGTTGGCACCTTTTCGTGTTTCCAGACGATAGTAATCCATTGTCCTATGGGAGAGGAACCTTGACATCACATCCCATAGTGAAACCAATTAAGACCAGGGATGAAGTACCTCTTCTCCACAGCAAACAGTCTGGATAGTCTAGCAGAGACGGTGTGTTGTCAGTGCGTCTCTCTACCTGCCTTGTTTACTCTAGAGAAAAGTAACACCCGCAAGTTAAGAACAAGGCATGCTACAGAAGCTGTCGGATCAGAGGAGCTGTGACCTCTCGGTCTGTCCGGCAGAACATTCAGTGGGTTCTCAGTTTGGGTCAAGTTAAAATCACAGGGTAAGGCTAAAATTCCTTTTTAACAGGGCTCGATGTTAGCAGGCATGCTAACTTGGCTTCTGCTGACTCCCACGTGGGAAAAATATATTTATATGAAAGTAAATCTGAACCACCCCCCCCCCCCGCACCCCTCCTCCCCGCCCTTTTCCCTAACGCTACATAGAAGTTAAACACCTTGGAGATCCATTCATTCACATCGCGGATGTTAGTCCAACTAGACTGATACCCTGTTCTACGTCAGCATATGGCACCCTTTATACTAAACTAAATACTAACCTGTTCTTGGCGAGTGCATTCTTTTCTACTACTAAATTGTGATTTATAATTTGATTTTTTTTAATCCACTGATTTAATTTTCATTGCTTCCATTTATTTACTAATTACTTTATCTCACACACGGATAAACTGAATGACTTGTAAACTTTCTAAGTGCTGTTGTAACTTACAAGTGTTTAGCAATGAAAATCA